CTGAACAAACAACTCCAGCTCCCACTAGCTCAACTGAGCTACCCATAATACACATAAATGATTGAGTGATTGAATTAAACCTGATTAGCCATCAAATGCCTCTGCCAAGGAAGGTACAACATCTCTCCAGCTTTTTTAAAATGAAGTCTAGAAAGTTAACTCCTCATGTTCCTCCACTTGTAGCTCAAATGCTGTTAAAATTCTGGATGGAATGCCCTCCTTCCAAAGAATTTGTAAGTCAACAGCAAAGCTCATTTTGCCAATTCTACTCTCAGGCTTTCCACTTTGGAATAAATAAGATCTTAATGTACATTTCTTTTTAAAAAAAGATCACACCTTTGCATTAGAACCTATCTGCACCTACAGTAGAGTTACTAGAGCATCAGCTGCAATTCAAAACTTCCAAAAACATGAAGAAAACCCCAAGAAAACCTGGAAGAAGAGTTACAGATTGACTCCCTTCCCTAGAAACAAACACCCAGGTTTCTTCCACTCAGGCAATACTTTGCAGCACGCAAAGCCACAAAGGGAATCAAGAGATCTGAATGAGGGATATGTTTTACAATCTTGACTGACAGTCAACTTCCACTCCTCTCTCTGCCTGCCAGGAGGTTAGCAAGAGCCAGCGAGTCACCACCACATAAAAATCACAACCAAGAGATACATTTAGGCACTGTGGTTCAAGGAAAACGATTGCTTACACTGAAAATAAATTTAGCAATTGTTTCCAGTTTCTGATTTTCACTGACTAAGGCACAACCCAGCTGCTTCACATTCCAGTAGCCTTCAGCTGTCTTTTTCTCCACTCCTTGCCCACTTCCTTCTTACAAGTGCTGAGACCATCTCAATCCTGCAGCAGTTACCCCACACTTACACACCACCTGTCAACCTACAGTGGCTTACAAAAGATGCCAAATTCTGCTCCTTGTGCCCTTTTGTAGAAATCAGGGATCGTCTTGTACCTGTATTTTACCTCTACACAAAACCAGCCTGAATGGTTGAATGGTTGATGCTGTTTAAACAAGTTACAGTAAATCACATGTGGGATGTCACTATGGGAGCAGAGCAGGTGCTAAAAGCCTGACTAAGGAAGAATTGGAACTGAATTTCCTTTGGGGTTGAAAGGTGAGTTTTTGGAAGGGTCTAATTTTCAGATTTGCAGATAACTCCTATTTTGCTTGAAAACCACCAGCAGTGAAGCACTTAAGATGGTGAACTGCAAAATTTTCTAACCTGAAAGCCCTCACTTAATATTGAGGAACATGGTACAGCAGTAAATGCTCAACAGAACTGAGAGAGTCTTGCCTAGTAACCCACCTAAGCATGACAAAGAGAAACTGCATAAAACTCCACAGGTATATAAAACAGGCAGGCTAATTTCCATAAAATGATCTAAGACATGATGACAGTTCAAAACATACCCTCTGCAAAAACAAAATCTTCAGGAAACTTTACGTTAGTACAAAAACATTCGCAGATGAACAACTCAGGATCACATAAATTGGCATGAATGACTCCAGACAGAACATTAAATTACTACAAAGATGGAAATAATGTGACCTCCTGAATTGTTTCTTCAGTTTTGATATTTTATTAAGAACAGAGTTCTCCTGGGGTTACCCCCAGATGTTTATCCCACCAATACTCAAGGATGAGAATTTGAGGTGAATTTGCTTATCAGGCGAGTGCTTATGAGCAAAATGTAAAGCAAACAACATTTTTGGTTTACTGGGAATAAACACATCCCATTGAGTCCTGGGCAGATTAGAGATGACTGCCTGCACTCCAAGTAGCTAACACCTGAAACAGCTCTCTCAAACAACCTTTAGCAGGCAGCTGTTGGAAAAGTTTACAAGGGAAATGAAAACCATGGAAGAAATAACAAGACTAAGAGTGAAAAACCTTCAAAATATGGCGCCCATATGTTGTTTGGTTTCACTAAAAAGGCAGTTTTGAATGGACTTGTATCACAACAAGTTTTTGGTTCAGAGCTGATGTTGTCTAATTCCTCCCTGACTCTCCCTGAGTGATGCATTACCATCAGGTAAATAAAAACAGGAATTTGTGCATCGCCATGGTAACAGGAAGCCCAAGCAGAATCTGTGGCCTTCTCTGCTCTTTCTTGGCATTCCTATTTTGGATTTTACATCAAAAAAGGGAGACAGCAAACATTTTCTAAAAGTGAAGACACAAAGTCACAGTTCTGGAGTAAAGAGAAGTCAATGGCCATTCCTTCTCTTCAAGCCAAGGAGGGTTCTGCTTTGGAAAAGTGTCTGGAAGTCTCCTGGTGGGAGCCTAACAAAGTAGGGGCTCTAACACTAGCAAACCCCAAATATACCATCGTCTTCTACATTACCAGATGGCTGCTCTTCACTCCAAAGCAGAGCTCTGAATTGTTCTACAGTGACCCTTCTGTTGATGAAATAGCAGCACTGAGAGGCTCCAGAGGGAGCCTTGTCTGCTCTTCCTTCACGGACAGGACAGAAGCTGTTATCTCTAATCATTTATTGTTGTTTTTTATTGAGTGCCAATAAGGTGTTTCAGTTAAGGACCCAGGGAGCAGATGTATGAGGGTCTCTGGGGGTCTAACCCTGGAAGGGGTAATACATTTTTTTCCAGCAGCCTGTCTAGACGGACACACAAGTAAAACCAAAGGCCACACCAAAGTTTGTCACCATGGCTTGTGACCAGACAATAATCAATTTTATTTATAACATAATGCAGGGATTTCTGTCCCCATAAGAAAAATAAATTCAAACATACACAAATGCACAGATCTTGGACCTCAGAGCATTTGTTTCACGAGTCTGTACCCTTTGTTCTGCTACTGTGCACGTTTTGACAAACATTACTCCTGAATGGCTGTGGTATTACAGGCTGTGTTTATTCGGTGACGCTACTAACCAAACTGCTTGTGTCAATCAGAAGTTCAAACACTCAGAAACAGCGATGCAGACGGTCCTGCTCTGGAACAGCTGGCCCCCGACCCTCCTTCCCTGCCCTTTCTCCTCCCGTTTATATTTGGACTGGATTTTTTTTGATTTTTTTTTTTTTAATATCCTTCCTAAAGAAATTAAAGTACAAGCAGTTGAAAGAGGACAGATTCCCAGATTTACAGTTTCTCTTGTTCAGCAAACCAGCACTGTGATAGATTTCCACTAGAACAAATGTCTCTGCATCAGGGCTTCTCCCACTGCATCTGTGAGCTGCACACTCACAGCACCGACCTGGGGATGGATCTTGCATGATCTTTGAGCTCAGTGTGGCTGGTCTCTAGGTTGTGCAGGGGATGATTTTTATATGGTATTTTATTGCCATTATATGGTATTTTATATGGCACATTATATGGTATTTATATTTATATGGTATTTCTTGGCCTCTGTTGTATTGTTTATGGAGCTGTGCTGAGTTTGTGTGTGTCTCCAGAGTCATCTTCTTGTGCTTGAACTCCTCACACTGCCTCTCTGGTGTGGAACTCTATTTACTACTCTCCCAGGGTTATTTACAGCACACGAATAAACAAAACGTGATCACTTATTTATACGTCTGTAATTACTGTCTACAGTTACTAAATCCCAAGCCGAATTCACCTCCAGCATAAACAAGTGGCAATTATTCCAGAGCTGGCCCGAGGTGTGTGTACTCCACTAACACCCTCCTTGCCCGCTGGAGTAAGGGACGAGCATGGAAAAGCTGAGCAGGAGCAAAGCCAGGTTGCGATATGTGAAAGGGATGGCGCACCGGATTAATCCGTGATATTTCTGGAGTAACATTTGTCCCCTGATGCAGCACACACTTGTTAGACAGAAACTCAGGGCAAAGAGCTGGGAGCACGCCGAGGTGCTGCATGGAGAAGCCGGCTGGCAGGCTGCTCGTGCCCCAGGGCCGCTCCAGAACCCGCAGCACCGGAGGAGAACACCAGGGTGGGATGACCACAACCAGAACACGATGCTGCCGACTTCACTCCTTGGAATCAGGGATCCTTCCTGCATCCCTGGCTGATGTCCTGGAAAGCCTGGATGCTCCACACAGCCCAACTCGAGCTGCTGCCCTGCCCTCCCCAGAAGGAGACAGCCTAGCTATTCCCCACAATGGAATATACGAAACAGCATTGATTTTTCTCTGCTAATTAAATGCATCATAATTAAACTACGTAACTTCGCTGCTTGATTTGCACAACACTAATTGAATCTTTAAGCGTACTACTCCCACTACAGAGAAAAACAGGGTCATTCAACCATCTAAAGTGACAACTGAGAACCAGGCACGACTCCAGAAGCGCAGACAGACAATATGATCCGTGCTTGAGCGTTTCCTTGTGAGAGCAGGAGGAACGTCAGCAGCCTCCCCTGGCTCTGGCTCTCATAAGCACGCCGGGCAGAGAAGAGGGAAGAAAAAAACCTGCAAGTTCCCTCTGACATTTGCTCATCTTTTCTCATCCTGCACAAACACCAGGAGAGGAAAGTTGAGAGAAGTTGAAATTAATCATAGCGCGTAGGCCCAAAGCACTGCAGCGCCCGGCTGCGCTGATGCTCGCCTGCACGGCAAGAACGGAATGGGTGCAAGAAAATAAAAATTAAAATAAAGGAACCGGGAGGGAAAAAGAGGAAAACAGCGAGGAAAAAGGAAAAGGCGGAGGAGACACAATGCCCGAGTGAAGCAGCGCCAGGGAAGCGGAGGACCGGCCCCCGGGGGGACGGGCAGAGCATCTCCTGCGGCCCCCGGGCCCAGCCCCGGCCCGGGCCCCGCTCGCCGCCCGCGCTGTCAGGAGCCCCCGCAAGGAGCGAGCCGGGCGCGGGGGGCCCGGCCCGGCTCACCCCGCCCCGCCGGGCCGCACCAGGCCCGCGGCACCGCCGGCGCCTCCCGCAGCTCCCGCAGCCCCGGCGGCTCCGGCTCCTCCGGCGGCTCCGCGGCCCGCGGCGGCTCCGCGGTGCGGGCGGCGAGCGCGGCCGCCCCGGCGCGTCCCCTCCCGCGCTGCCCGCGGGCCTCCCGGCGCTCACCTGCTCTCTCGATCTTGCCGGACATGTCGGTAGCCGGCGCTCGGCGCTCAGGCCCGGCGGCGCACGGAGCCGGCCGAGGGGCTGCCGGGCTCCCGCTGCTGCCGGGCGCGATGCGGGAGCGGCTCCAGCGGCGGCCGTGGAGCAGCGCCCGCCCCCTGCCCGCTCCGCGGGGCCGCGACGGGAAGGGGCGGCCCGGGGCTCCCGCCGCGCACGCCCAGCGCCCGGCGCCGCCTCCCGGCCACAAAGGGAACCGCGGGGCGGGGCTGGCGGCGGGGCGGGCACGGAACCCCCGCGGGCCCGGGAGCGGGATCCGGGGATGGGCATGGGGATCCGGGGATGGGCATGGGGATCCCGGGATGGGCATGGGGATCCCGAGATGGGCATGGGGATCCGGGGATGGGCATGGGGATCCCGGGATGGGCATCGGGATCCCGGGATGGGCATGGGGATCCAGGGATGAGGATCAGAATCCTGGGATGGGCATCAGGATCCAGGTGTGGATGGGAGGGACCACAGCGGGTCAGCTGCTCCGACCTCCTGCTCAAGGAGGGTCATCTCAGAGGGCACAGCACAGGGCCGTGACCAGATGGGTCTGGAATATCTCCGTTGAAGGACACTCCACACCCTTTTTTTCCTCTGTTTCAGTGTGTGGTCATTGCACGGGAAATAAGTTCTTCCTTGTGTCCAGGTGGAACTTGGTGTGCATCAGTTTCTGCCCATTTCCTTGTGTCCGAGTGGCTGGCACCACCGGGAAGAGCCTGGCTGTATCTTCTTGGCATCCCCCTTCAAATACTTATACTCATTAATGCGGTCTATTTTCCAGGCTGAACAGCCCCAAGTCCCTCAGTCTTTTTCTAGGAACCCAGGTGGTTTTCCCCCTAAAATGTAATCCTCAGGATGTGGGGTTGGAAGGAGCAGGGACCCCCCCATCCTGAGCTGCCCAGAGATGCCCTGCTGGTGCTTCTGACCCTTCAGAATCTCCTCAGGCCTCACAGGTTCTGCCTTTTTCCAAATTCACTGCCATGGCAGAATATTTCTTTTGGAGAAGTCAGCAGCAAAATTTAATCAATTACAATTTACTCTCTACAACTGTCTGAAAGAAGGTTGTGGCAAGGTGAGGGTCAGCCTCTTCTCCCAGCAACCAGCAACAGAACAAAGGGAAACAGCTTCAAGTTCTGCCAGAAGGTTCAGATTGGATATTAGTAAAAATTTATTCATGGAAAGAATGGTTAAGCATTGGAACAGGCTGCTCAGGGCAGTGATGGGGTCACTGTCCCTGGAAGTGTTCACAAAATGAATGAAAATGCTTTAGTGGGCATGGTGGTACTCACTAGAAGGTTGGACTTGATGATAATGGAGGTCCTCTCCAACCTTAATGATTCTGTGATTCTATTAAAAGGGAGCAAAGTTGGGATTTGTGCAGAGCTGACTACAACAGGACGCCAGTGCTGCTGCCTCAGAGCATCCTCACAGCATCTACAGACACCCCAAATCCACGCTCAGGGCAGCGTGGTGACCCCAGGTTGCCCAGCAGGGCTGCTGGAAGCCCCACAGCAGCCACAGACAAGCGCTGTGATCCTGCTCCTGCTCCCTGACACCCTCAGCTCCCTGTCTGCCATCCCAACCTACACACCCGCTTTAATCTGAGCCCAGGGAGCAGTGGCACCACCCTGGGACAAGCGGCTTCAATCCACAGGGAAGTGACAGCAGAGCCCTGGGGGAGGGCTCCAGGCAATAATGAAATAATTATGGTCCTATTTGAAAATTAACTCATTTTTACAACTTAATTCAGGACAAATATCACAACAATGACTTGAAGTGTGTGCTACAGGCCAATAAATCTGAAGCCTGGAGAGCTGTCAGAGACTGTTTATTTCCCTTATCAAATAAATCATTCACGAGGTTGCTATTTCTGTAAGCTTTCCACACAACTTTGAAAGTGACTTCATGAGCCTGTTTAAACATCTCACACACCCGGGGCTCGGCAGAAGGTATAGGAGGAAATGTCTAAGAGGCAGAGCATGCATTTTTCTTTCAATAATTTTTATGTTGAGAGGCTTGTGGAGAGTTCCTGAGCACATTTGCTTAATAAATCTGACAAAAAAAAAGAAAAAAAAAAAAAAAGAAAAGAAAAAAAGGTGGATTTAGGTAGAGGTTTTCCTCTGGCTCACACAGATGTAAATGGTGGCTGTTGTAGCCACGCTGAGCTGTGCTGACTCACTCGTATTAGTGAGCAGTAGTAACGAGGAGCTGCAGCGGGTGATGCTAATGAGAGCAGACCCGACTGGGAGTACACACAGGAAGCAGACAGATGAAGTAACAAGCTGCTATTCTTACACCCTCCCGTTTTCAGACTTGGGCAAGGGGAGAAGGAGAATGTGTGCAATAATGTGAGACATGAACAGAACAGCTACTAAATTGGAAGGTCTTTTCATAGTCTCTGATATAAAAAGCCCTGTTTTGCCCAGGATGTGTTGCCTTCCGGGGGATGCTGGAGTTTCTCTTGTGGTTTCTGCATTAAGATGTAACTCACAACACTGGGAAAACCTAATGCTTCTAAATATCCCCTGGAGTCAGCTGGGGAAAAACACCTCGGAGCTGATTTTGTCCATTTGAGTGTGTTGTTAAGGGCAGAACTGTGGCCAGGAGAGCAGGAGGAGATCTGTGAGGAGAGATGTCACTTTTCAGGCTGTTACAGAGCAGTGTGGGACCCCACAGGGATGGTTCTTGCAACACATTTGGACAGAGGGAAAGGGATGGCAGTAGCTGGTTACCTTCAAGAGGGAGCAATACTGGAACACCCTACAATTTTTCAGGCACTGATGCTACATCAGGAAGAAGAAGAAAAAATGAAGAATATTTTGGGTACCTGCTTTGTTATCGGATGAGAGCACACTGCTAAAGTTCACCTTAAAGCCAGAGACGTGCCAGATGTGGCAGCAACATCTGGAGCCTCCTTTCAGAAATATTTCTTTGCTGGGAGAAGCTCCCTGGCAGCAAAACCTGCCAGGAACACTCAGCAGATGGTGGAAGCCCTGGCTGGAGGCTGCCCCAGACGGGCTGGCAGCACCTAGGGAAGGCCAGCAGACCCCAAGTGCAGCCCCACAGGGTCATTTCCTGCAGTGAGTCACTGAACTGTACAACTGACCCACTGAACGGGGGAAATTGTGCAAGAAATGCCAACGAGACTTGAACCGCGCAGTTAAAGAGCGCTCCTGCCCTCTAGTGAGGGCTCAGCCCAAATCCCTGCTCCCATCCCAGCCCTGCTCTCCTGCTCCCCGCTACAGTTTGTGGGATCGGGGCTCAGGTCCTGCCGTGTCTGTCCCTGCAGAAATCCCAGGAGGATTCACCCCATTCACCCCAAAAAAAGCTGTCCGAGTGGGCTTTAGCAGCAGGGAATAACTGGGGTTATTTAGGGAAATGCAGTTTAGCCAACTGCCCTCTTGTACAATGCCTTCTGCACCAGCACTGGCATCGATAATATCACTGCTCAGGATAGTTGCAGTTTGATTAAGACTCCGAAAGCTCACTGAAAAACCTTATGGAATGTGCAGAGAACCCCCAAGTGACAAACACATCACAGAGACCCGATGTGCTCCACCCCTGCTCAGCCCGTGGGGCAGAAACTTTTGCCACTGGGAAGAGGTGGAAACAAAAATTTATTGGAAGCAGCAAAAGCTGAAGGGCAAGATTATCATCTCCTGTTAACGGCTGCAACTCCTCTGAGGTCTTCAGGGGTGGAAAGAGTAGGAGTGGGATGCCAGTATGTGGTGGAGGAGAGGAATGGTCTGGGGAAGAAGACAGCACAATCATGGGGGACACGCTCTGGCTGAGACTCAGAAGAGCGATGCAGAAAAGGACAGAGCTCTGTGTCAGTCCCCTGGAGAACATTTGTGATGCAATCTGCATCAGAGTTCATATGAGCAAAAAAAAAATGCAAATGGGAGACACTGATTTTGGGCAAATCCCCACTTTAACCTCCTCTAGGAAGGGTCAGTGTTCAGGTTTTTGATGACAGAAAATAGCTGGTGGTCCCAAGTCCCAGCTGTGTGACAGCCCCCGTGCTCCGTGTGCTGGAGTGAGAGACAGGTTGTTATTATTAGGAGAGTTGTTATTATTATTAGGCGAGTTATTATTATTAGGCGAGCTGATGGTCTGGGCAGAATGTCCAAGTTCCCCTGTGCATCGTCCGTGGCCGTAGGGCTGGTCCGAGCCCCGGGGGGAGTTTCCACTGGTTCTCTCATTCTGACACATGATTGTCAGGACTTGCTTTCTCCCAGCTTTTTCCTTTAAAAAAGGCGAGATTTGGGTGCTGGCTCTAGAGGGCAGCATATGCCGGCACATGGGGCTGGGGGGCACCGCCGGCTCCCCCCGACCCGCGCCCTGCGGAATCCCGGCAGGAGGAGAGAAACACGGCAGTGGTTATCCAGCGAGGAAGAGGAGAGAATCTCGGCAGGAGAAGGAGAGAATCTTGGCAGTGGTTATCCTGTGAAGAAGAGGAGAGAATCTTGGGAGTGGTTATCCAGGGAGGATGCTCCCCAAAGGTGCACACTGTCCTGTGTCTGCAGGTGGGACAAGGAGTGATGGATCATAGAATGGTCGGGGTTGGAAGGAACCCTTAGAGGTCATTTAGTTCCAAACCCCCTGCCATGGGCAGGGACACCTTCCACTATCCCAGGCTGCTCCAAGCCCCTTCCACCCTGGCCTTGGACACTTCCAGGGATCCAGGGGCAGCCACAGCTGCCACAGCACCCCTGTGCCAGGGCCTGCCCACCCTCATTGTAAAGAGTTCCTTCCTTATATGTAATCTAAATTTACCCTCTTTCAGTTTAAAGCCATTAGCCTTTGTCCTATTGCAACATCCCAACCTTGAAACACCTTGGTCCCCTCCCTTCTCGCTCACAGACCTTTGTTTTGTTTTGTTTTGTTCCCCAGACAAATTTCTGGTCCAAGACCAAAAAACCCGTTGGATGTTGGGGTGGATCACTTAATACTTCAGGGCTCCCTATCTCTAAACACCAACAGCCAGGTGGGCAGGAGGGCAGAGACTCAGGTCACTGGGACCAGGGGATTAATCAAAAAATAAATAAAT